TGACTAACGGGAAGTTAAGTGATCAAGTGAAGTGATTGATTGAAGTTATGTGATTTATGATACTGTAAATGATGGTTTCCTGTGCACATAATTTCAACACCACACCCCTCACCAGTGTAAATCAGGAGGGGTTTTAAGAAGAAGAAGATAGGATTTCAACAGAGAAGGCAGACATCCAGGAAGATAGAACACGGAATCTCTAAGATGGGAAAGGCTAGAGCAGCAAAGAACATAAACAGGAAAGAACAGCAGACTGCAAATGTAAAGACTGATCTGGATAACAGGAAGGCATTTTTTAAATTTTAATTTTAATTTTTTGCATTTTTTTAATTAAAAAAATTTTTTTATTAGTGAAACACCATGACGTACAGTTATAGACTTATAAATTTTTGTGCTTGGGTTTCAGTTATACAATAATCAAGTGCCCATCCCTCCACCAGTGCCCATCCTCCCCCACCACGGGTCCCAGCATCCCTCCCACCCCCCATCCCCCCCGGCCCACCCTGCCTCTGTGGCAGGGCATTCCCCCTTGTTCTCTCTCTCTTCTTTTGGGTCCTGTGTTTTGCAAGAGAGGCATTGGGTGGCAATCATGTTTGGTCTATAGACTACTTTTAGCATGCTTCTCCCACCCTGGGAGGGTCCTCACAACACCCTTTATTTGGTGCTCTCTTCTCTATCTGAGCTAGGAAGGCATTTTTATATGGCACCATGGTTTTAAGACTGGGTGGCTGGTGGTGGACTCACTGAAGTGGGGACACAGAAGAGGTGAGTTAGAAGGGAGTGTCATGATTTGTGGTTTGATTTGGAGCCACAACCAGTTGTGGTCAGGGGCTACTGTAAGCTCTGTGCTCAGAGTCACTGCAAGCAGTACTGGGGTACGGCTAGGGGCATGGAACCCAGGTCTCCAGCATGCAAAGCATGCATTCAACCCATGTGCTATCTCTCTGGGCCCTTGTTTTATTTTAGCTTTCTTATTTCTTTAGTCACTTTTGTACGGCAGGGCTCACCCTGGCATTATCTGGGGGCCTTGAAGTGTCAGGCATTGAATCCAGGGCTTCCCATCCACATGTTTGGCATGTGCTCTATCACTTGCCCATCATTTGGGGTTTTTTTCTGCTTTATTTTGGTCACACCAGGCAATGCACAGGGGTTACTCCTGGCTTTGTATTCAGGAATCACCCTGGTGGTGCTCAGGGGACCATATGCGATGCTGGGAATCAAACCTGGATTGGCCTCGTGCAAGGCAAACGCCCTACCTGTACTATCGCTCCGGCCCCTGATTTAGGTTTTGGAGTTTGAGTTTTTTTTTTAATAAAAATGGGGTGAGGGACAAAGATATCTGGGAGAGCCAATGATGTCGACTAATGCTTTGAATGAATCCTTTCTCTACAACTCTGATTATTCAGCCCACCTTTTTTTTTAGAGGAAACAAAGCAGAGACATCAAGCCTAACTCCATGGATCCTGCTCTACTGACCCTCTACTGGCCCCCTGCTACCCCTGTGGCCAACCTTCCTGATGCTTCACCCCCAGACCGTCAGCCCTGTCTGAGATGACTGGACACAGCCTAGGAAATACTGATGACTTGCCTTCCTGCTTCAGCAAGTTAGGGGCAGAGAAGAAAGTACGATAACAATAAGAGAAGTGACAGCTGACAATCAGGTAAAGGTAAAGGTAAAGGCCCTCCCGTTGATCGTCGATTTGCTCGAGCGGGCCCAGTAACGTCTCCATTGGAGACTTTGTTGTTACTGTGTCTGGCATATCGAATACTCCCGGTAGCTTGCCGGGCTCTCCGAGAGGGGCGGAGGAATCGAACTCGGGTCGGCCATGTTGGCCGTGTGTAAGGCGAACGCCCTACCCGCTGTGCTATCGCTCCAGCAATCAGAGACTTTAAAAAAACCCTCATGAGGACACCACACCCCAAATCAGAGCGTTTCTGGTGAATCTGTTCAGGGTAATGTAGTACTTTGTTCCTCAAAAGCCCAAGAGAATTTCTTCATAATGAAGCCTGGTATTGCTGGAGTTCACGTTCACAGTAAATCAAGAAAACGCTACACTTTTACATTAGAATTTAATTTTTTTAAATTTCCATCAAAAAAAGTAAATCCCCAAAACCACTACATTCCCTACCTCCGTCCCCCTCCCGCACTCCAACTCCCCATTACACGGATATTAGGAGGTCTAGGGAGTTTGTATCTTTAAAATAGTTTCATCCGATGTGCATATTTCACATCTTCATTTTGATTAAGGCACCATGATATCAAAGCTTTTAGTAACACAGGTTCAGGTATTTGATGTTGCCTCTCCAAAAACACCACTGCTAGAGTCCCTCTACCAATGACCTGAGGTTCCCTCTCTCTCCTTAGCAAACTAATTCCCCACCCTCTTAACTAATCATTATTTGAAAAAATTTCCTTATTAAAGTTTGGGTCATGAGCTTGCAATGGTGTTGACCCTTATAATTTTGATGTACAGTTACCTAACCTCCTCTATATGATCCTTGACCAATGCCCTTATGTTATTACCAGTGTCTCTCCCTTCCCTTCCCTTCCCTTCCCTTCCCTTCCCTTCCCTTCCCTTCCCTTCCCTTCCCTTCCCTTCCCTTCCCTTCCCTTCCCTCTCTTTCCTTCCCTCCCTCCCTCCCTCCCTCTCTCTCTCTCTCTTTCTTTCTTTCTTCTTCTTCCTTCCTTCCTTTCTTCCTCTCTCTTTCTTCCCCCTCTTCCTCTCCCTCCCTCCCACTTTCTCTTTCTCTCTTGGCATTCTGAGGTAACTATGCGGCATTCTGGAACATAGAGATTCTGATACAGTCGTTTTCCCTTTCATGACCCGAAGAGCTCTGGAAATATGAAATGAATCCTGGGCAGTGCCATTTGGAGGACATCTGCCAGGACCTCACACTATCATTGGTAATTCCTTTCTTTCCTCTCTGCCTTCCTGACTTGAATGCTTCTAAGCAAATGGGGAACAAGGAGAGGGACCCGTGTGCTGGGGTCAGGAAGAGCAAAAGCGACCACAGTATGAGCAAAAGCCTTATTGCACAGGCCTAAGCAGAAGCAGGTCTAAACTGCATGCCCTGGTGCTGACCTGGGTGGGTGTGGGGATTCCAAAATATGGAATGAAGAGAGCAGAGCCAGCCACGTTCTGCTGTTGCTATGAAAACACTGGCTTCCCTGTTTCTCTGTCGGGAAGGCCTTGTGAACTCTTTCCTCGGGGCTTGACTCCCTTGACACCGGGTCTTGAAAGGGCTTTCTGAAATGCAAATCTGATTGCCATCCTCCCCACTGAAAATTCACTAGCTTCTTATTGCCTAGAGCAGAAATTCATAAACCTTTGGTCTCAGGACTCCTTTCTTCTCTTAGAAGTGACTGAGTTCCTTAAAAAGCCTTTTAATTACTAGGCCTATCAATATTTGTCGTATTAGAAATGGAGACATTTGTAAACTTTTACTAATTAAAAATTATAATGGGGACCCAGGAGATAAGTCAAAGGTCTAGGATGTGGGCCCAAGAGATAGAATAGGGGGTCAGGAGCATGCCTCATGGACAGTCAATCCTGGTTCTGTCTCCTGCACCACATATGAAAAATGTGGTCACCCCAGAAAAAAGCCAGAGGTGACCCCTAGCTCCGCTGGGTATTCCTAATCCCCCTCTCCTCAAAGGGGGCTGGTGTTCATGCTTTGTTTGTCAGAGGTCTAAGTTAGACTCCTGGCCCTGCATGGCCCTCTGGGGATCAAACCCAGAGCACGGAGATGGGAGTAACCTGAACACTTCGGGGTGTTCACTAGGTGCTCACTAATAAGATGCCTTCTTTGGGGGTGACTAGAGCTATGTCCAGTGTGCCAAGGCTGTGCCAGGGATTGAACCCCCAGGCCCAGTGAATGCCAAGCAGGCGCTCCACCCCTTTCAACTATTTCCCAAGTCCCCCATTAAGTGCTATAATTTTAATGAAAAATAATTTTTTCGAAAGAAAAAATTAATGTTTTCACATTTATGCAAATTTCTAACGCCTGGATGAAAGAAGACAGCTGGATACTGAAATCTGTTTCTGCATTTCATCTGTGGCAGTATGTCCCGCCGCCTATGGAAAACTTCACTGTACATGTGTGAGAGGAGGAGAGAGAGAGAGAGAGAGAGAGAGAGAGGGGAAAAAAGCAAATAACCTTTGGCACTGTTACAAAAATAATTCTGAGCTCACAGAATCCTGGAAGGATCTCAGGGACTGCCAGGGATCCCAGCCAGAATTACCCTATGAAAACCACTGGCCTACAAAGTCAACTCTGAGTTAGACGCACAAGGACGGTCAATGTCATTGTGGACACACGGGGATCTCCTCCACGTTCTGGGGTCCTCTCCAGGTCTGTCTGCTGCAACAGTAGCAGCGGCACCGGGACCTCCTTCCTCCTCCCGCCGCAGCCAACAACACAGCCAGCCACGCGGAGCCGGAGCGGGGTGCGGGGTGCGGGGTGCGGGGTGGGGAGTGCGCGGCTCCCGCTGGGGCACATCCTGCCCGCCTTCCAGAGTCAACCTGAGCGTGTCTGAGTCGCGACGCCTTCCCCAAGCCTTGGACGCGGATCACTGGGCAAGCCGAGCGCCTTTGAAGCCCGACTGGCAGACGTCGGAGTCTCCAAGCAATCGTTCCCTGGCTGGGCGAAGGGGACACCTTTTCTGAGCTCGGGTCTCCGCAGCGCAAACCAGGGAGGTGGTGGCGGTGAACCAGTCCAGCAGCGCTGCAAACGGATGGATGCACGGCTGGAGGCTGTGGCTCAGGGCAGGCAGCCCACCTGATCTATACGGAGGCCCTGGGCTCCCTGCACCATAAAAAGGTCCCTGACAGTCTTTGCAATAAATACATAAATAAATAAATAAGTAAATAAATAAGTAAATAAATAAATAAACCAACCCACATCCTAAGCCAAAGCGATCGACCCTTCGGAGAGTCTGCACCGGCCCGCCGAGTGCGTACTCGGGATGCGGACGAAGCGGACGCAGCAGTGTGCGGGTTTCACCCGGCGGGCGCTGGACCCGGGCCGCGCACCTGGGCTCGGGGGTCGGCGGTCGGAGAGCGGGAGGGGTGCAGGGGTCTGCGCTGGACGGCCAGGAGACACGCGCCCTGGGTGCTGCCCCGCACGGCTGCGCGGGGATCCGCGTCCAGGCCGCGCCCCGCGTGCGTCCACTCAGTCTGCGGGACCGAGACCCAAAGAGGGGTGGGGTGGTGGGGCGGGGGTGGGGGGTGGGGTAAATACAACCTCGCGGGGGGTCGCGATCGGGGGGTCGGTCCTCTCCCCGCACCTGCCCGCGCCGGACCCCGGCGCTGCCCCCCACCCCCCACCCCCCACTCCAAGCCCCGGCGGGGGTGCGCAGAGCGGAGTCCCTCGCTGTAGCCCTCGGCGGGAGCCGGCGCGGCGCGGCGGGGCGGGGGCGGGGCGGGGCGGCCGGGGTCGGGGACCCCCGCGCGGGAGTGGCCGGGCGGCGGGGGCGGGGCAGGAGCCCCCGCCCGCTCCCGGCGCGCGGAAACATGGCGGCGGCGAGGGACTGAGCGGGCCGCGCGCGCCGCGCCGCAGGTAGGTGCCGGCCCCGCGCCCCGCGCCCCGCGCCCCGCGCCCCGGCCCGGGCCCCGCAGCTGCGGCCGCCGCGCTCCCCCCGCGGGCCCGGCCCGCCCCGCGGCCTGTCTGCGCCCCGAGCGCGGCCGCGGCCCTGGTGTGCCCGCGCGGCCCGGCGCCCCGGCCACCTCCTCTGCGGCCGCGGCTGGGGCGCCGAGGGGCCCCCCGGGCGCGGGGGCGCCGGCGCGGGAAGCTGCGGAGCCCCGGGGGGCTGCCTGGCACGGGGGGTGGCGGGGGGCGGAGGGGCGCGCCGGCCGCTGGGGCCGGGCCGGCGGGGAGGGACTGGCCCGGGGCCCGGCGCGGACAGCGGGAGCGGCTGTCAGTCCGCGCGCGGGGCGGGAGTCGGGGGGTGCGGGGGTCCTCGCCCGGAGAGCCCCAGGAGCGCCCGCAGCTCGTCCCAGCCCCGGGTCAGGGGTGCGAGGGCCTCCCCCCACCCCCTCATCCCCCGAGCTGTCAGTCGCGCTCCGCGCACCACCCACCCAGGGGCAGGAAGGGCAGCTTGCACACGTCGCCCGGGCACCAGCCGCTGGGCACCGGGTGCCAGGTGGGCGCGCAACCTGGAGGGCAGGACACGTGGGCATCACCTTGGGTCTGCCCGGAGTGCAGTGAGAAGGGTCCTGGCTGGAGGAGACAGGTGGACCTCTGAACCTGTGTAGGCAGGAAGGGAATGGGAATGTCATCTAGGATTGCCCCCTGGCCCAGGTCGCACTAAAATCGGTTTGAAAATCGCCGATCCATCCACCCCGATGAATAGCAACTTGCTGGAAGAGCTTCCCGTGATGGGACACCAGTCTTAACCCCCGAGCAACGCGTTCTGGTCTAGGACAGCGTAGGTTTTTAGAAATGTATTTTGTTTGAAATAGACAGCTGTGTCTCTTTCTCCCTACGTATTTTTTTCCCCTTTATGGACAGGGAGTCTTGTCCTTTCTTCACTAATTCCAGTCCCTTCTGTGGTTCCCCGGAGCTCGGCTTCTCTGCCTCTGGGCTCTCTGAGCTTTTAGCTATGAACCTCTTTAAAGGAGAGTTTTTTTTCCGGCGAGCCAGAAGACAGGACCTAGTAAGTTTAGCCCCTATGTAAGACCTGCCTATGTAACTAGTTTTCTACTCTCTTACTCATTTCTGTGCTGTGTTTAAACTTTATTAAAGACAAAAAAAAAATTCTGTTTGTGCAAAGTAAAAGCGATTCTATTTTGTGGAAATTTCTACAGCTTCCCTCATTTGAATAACATTTGTAGTCTTTATGGATTGAGCAACTGTTTATCCAAGTGTACAATGCTCCATGTAAATTTAGACCTTATTGTTTTCACTCCGCAAAAAGGATTGAGACCTAGTTTGGTGACAGACTGCAATTTAATATTTCGTTGGACAAGGAAATGCTTCATTACATTGGACTCTGTTCTGTTTTTGATTTCCAGCAGAGGAACAAATATTACTATAAAAAGGAACATATTTGTTGCTTAATAGCTTAGTCTGGGTATGTAAGAGTATGGATTTGGTAAGGTATTTTTAAAAATAACATCCTTGGCCCCTGTGTGAGCAACCCTGTGTTAGCTGTTTTCTGAGTCTGGTTGAGATGTACTGGCCTTGTAGAAAAACTGTCAAGCCTCTGCATCTTAGACCATGTTCAAATCCTAAGCAGAGCCATTGTTTTTATAACAAACACATAGCAGTCAGAATTGGTTCTTTATCTTCCTTCTTGTGTCTTCTTCTTTTTGATTGCTCAGTGATTTTGAAACTTGCAACACACACGCAAATTTTGGTTTCTGGTACGTTTGTGCAAATGCTGTAGGTTGAGTAAAACCTTTATGTAGGTTTTACTCAAAGGTTGAGTAAATTTTTGCATAGCCTCATCCTAAAGAGACCCAGTTAAAGCTCTGGTTCCTTCTCTTTCAAGGGACTTTAAGTTCCTGGTGGGAAACTGGAACTTGGCGAGAAAGAATCTGTGTGAGTGTACATCTCACTGAAAATTTAAGAGGGTTTCTAACCTCCTCTCTACACTTTGGCATTTACTGTTGGGCACTGTGCTATGTCATATGTTTATACATTTCCAGTCCTTGTGAAGTTGGATTAAAGTACATCATCTCAGAATGCAAGGCAAGAGCTTTACCTAGGGTGGTGGTGTTGTCTCAGTGTGAGGATGCTTAGACTACCTTAGAACTCAAGGAAAGGCTTTGGGAAAAAATGGACTTACAGTCTTTTTATTGTGTGTGTGTGTGTGTGTGTGTTGGGGGGTGAATGAGGGATGTTTGGGCCATATGGAGCGGTACTCAGAGATTACTCCTGGCTCTGTGCTCAGGGATCACTCCTGATGGTGCTCTGGGGACCGTATGGTGGGCCAGAGATCAAACCTGGGTCAGCTGCATGCAAGGCAAGTGCCCTACCTACTGTACTATTATTCTAGCCCCTGACCCATTTTAAATGACAAATAGGAGTAAGTCTGTCAGAGTTTTTTTTTTTTTTTCAAAAAATGTGCTTCAAAGAGAGAAAGCCGTTTTGGAAAGACATGTATGTGAAAAAAGTAATGACTTGCACAGAGAGCAACGAACAGTTGGGGCCGCTAAGAATATAACAAGGAAGGCATAAGTGCTGAGTTGTCAGTATGGAAATATGGACAAAAGTCAGGTTATGGTATACCTTATATGCCTGTGTATCTTGAATTTAATTTAGTGGGTGATTTTTTTTTAATTGCTGGAAGGTTTTTATACAATAAAATGTAGTGGCATTTTGACTATGATTATAGGAATGAGAAAAAAGGGATGAAATGGAGAGAATCATCTTTTGTAATTGATTGAATATGCAGAGGAGGGGTGAGGAGTCTGATGAGGTATAAAGGGCTTTGGGCCTGGGTGGTTAGGGGAGTCGAGGGATCGCCTGAGACAGAAACGTTTAGATGATGAATTCAGTTTTGGACTAGAAGGTCTGGAGACCGCTTGTGGTAGGTAAATGAGCAAACCTAGGTGTAACCTGGAAAAGAAGGTTGTGTTCAGAAACTATAACTGGGCTGAGAGTTAAAGAGTTAAAACGACTTTCTCAGTGACAGCCAGGTCTGTGTGTGGCTGAAATATTGCAGAGGTGAAGGTCAGTGAAGCAGAGTATGACACGGAGCTGAGGAGCTATTGTATGGAGTGAGTCATCTCTGTGGAGAGTGGAGTGATTTAGGATGCCTGCGTATGGAGAGGGAGGGAGGACTGTGACCCAGGTGCAGGGAATATAGGGGATTAATGGCGAGGGTGTAAATGACAGAGGAGGAGGAGGAGGGGTGGAGTGATGTAACCAGATGGTGTGAAATGCAAAGGAGGAGGAGATTTTAAGCGCAGGCTTAGAAAAGTCATGTTCTTGATTTTTTCTTCTTGGAAGCTGGGTTTTAATCTCTATACTTTTTCTGTTTGCTCTGAAGAGTCTGTTATTCGTCTTGGAAAGTAGGCTGGCAGGGGCCCTATGTCATTTTTGCTAATACTTAGTGATGAAAGGTATCTTCCCCTGATGATTATAGATGGGTAAGAAGCAGTCATATAAATAGTAAGGATATACCCACAGCTTCTGGGTAGAGTATAATGGGAACAGTGTAGGCTTTGGATTCAGAAAGATCAGGGCTTTGGCCTAGACCAAAATCTAGACTCAATCATTGTATAACTGAAACCCAAGCACAAAAATCTGTAAGTCTACAACTATACCTCATGGTGTTTCACTAATAAAAATTTTATTTTATTTAATTTATTATTATTATTATTTTTTTGCTTTCTGGGTCACACTCGGTGATGCACAGGGGTTACTCCTGGCTCATGCACTCAGGAATTAACTCCTGGCGGTGCTCGGGGGACCATATGGGATGCTGGGAATCGAACTCGGGTCGGCCGCATGCAAGGCAAACATCCTACCTGCTGTGCTATTGCTCCAGCCCCACTAATAAAAATTAAAAAAAAAAATCTAGACTCTGATACTCACTGTCTTCAGGACACATACGCAGATTATTTACCTTGTGGATTTTAGTACCCTTATCTAAAACAAGTTGCTTCACAGGCTGTCACGAAGATGACATGAAGTAATAGCTGTTCATATGCAAACATTTGATTAAAGTAGGCACTAGAAAAGCAATGGGCATTTCATAAATGCAAAATATGGCTAGTTCCATTACTTGAAGAGACTTGAGCTCTGTTGGCAGAAGTGAAATTTAATTTTTTTTAATTTTATTGAATCACCATGAGAAAGTTACAAGCTTTCGTGTTTGGGTTACAATCACACAGTGATCAAACACCCATCCCTCCACCAGTGCACGTTCCCCACCACCAATCTCCCCAGTATACCCCCCCTTCCCCACCCTCCCCCTGCCTACATGGCAGACAATACTCCCCATACTCTCTCTCTACTTTTGGGCATTATGGTTTGTAATACATATACTGAGAGGTTATCATGTTTGGTCCATTATCTACTTTCGGCACACATCTCCCATCCCGACTGATTTCTCCGGCCATCATTTTCTTAGTGATCCCTTCTCTATTCCAGCTGCCTTTTCCCCTCCGCTCATGAGGCCGGCTTCCAGCTATGGGGCAATCTTCCTGGCCCTTGTATCTACTGTCCTTGGGTGTCAGCTTTATGCTATGTTATTATATGCTCCACAAATGAGTGTAGTCCTTCTATGTCTTCCCTCTCTTTCTGACTCATTAGAAGTGAAAATTTTTCATGTTTACCTAAATTATGGCAGTAAGTAATCTAAGGGAGAGAAAAGCAAAATAGGATAGGAGTTCAAAGGAGGGAGTCACCATTGATCAATTTTTGACATTTTAACCGGCTCTTAAAGGTTAAGAAGGAATTCACCAGATAGTGGGGGAAAGAAGTCCTTGCAGAAATGTGTAAAGACACCTTAGAGTGGAAGGAATCACCTAGAATGAATATGTAGAAGTCGCCGACAAAGAGGCTAAGAAGAAGAGTAGCAGCGAATAGTTATCGAGTATTTAATGCTCATTTTTGCGTGCTTGTCTGAATTCCTGTAACCCTCCTAGATAGGGGAAACAGGCACATGAAATTAAAATAAACTGTACAGAGTATATGGCTCAGTAAGTGGTGGAACCAGGATTTATACTCTGGCATTCCAGATGCAAAGTCTGTGCCTTTGACTAGAGAGCTGGACTCAGGATCACTGAGCTCTCGACAAACATCTGGAGAAATAGTCTCTTAAGTGCTGAGGGAAAAGTGTCAAGTTTTAAAAAGAAAGCAGTAGTTGTGCGAAAGGCTCCTAGGAGATGATAAAATAGGAATTCTACAAAGAAGTAATTGGATATTTCAAAAAAAAATTTTGTGTGTGTGTGTGTGTTCTGAGGCACAGTAAGGGTTACTAAGATAAGAGAGTTGTGGGACCAGAAAGATAACCCTGATCTATATGTTTTGCTTGCAGGACACCTGGGGTGCTTGCAGGAGACCCAGCTCAGTTAGTCCCCCAAGCACTACTGGGAGAAACCTCTAGCGCAGAGCTAGAACTAGCTCTCAGCACTGGGAGAGATAATCTGGCCCCCTGCCAACCCCCCACCAGAGGATAGTAGAGATATGGATATATCAGGAGAGTAGTGGGGATTCAGACTATCAG